GAAGTGAGAAACAGCAGCAGCCCATCGTCACTGACGCGGACCTGGTCACGCCAACGCGCGAGAAGAGCGAGGCGACACAATAACCAGACACTGCTACGTCGTCAGCTACATACTGGGCCATGCGTGCGCGAGAAGTGGCAGCAAGGGCAAAACAGGGGCGAGACGAGGCAATGGCAGCGTGTGTGCGAGGAGTGGCAGTGGCAACGGGCAGTGGCGCGATCCTGGGATGAAACGCGCCATCAGTTACAATCTGGGGTATACGCGAGCGTGCAGAAGCAGCGCCGTCGGGCAGTGGCGCTCAGGCTGCGCCGCCCAAGGCTCAGGACGACCAACTCAGCGAGGCGGGTGGGAAGGCAGTGCGAGCTGCCGTGGGGCGCCGCCACCATCGTGAGCAGCACGGCGGCGCGGACCAGAACAAGACCCCAGAACAGCCCCGAGGCGGCGACCGCCTCTACCTGGGAGCCGCCGGTTACCACGGCTACGACGGCAACCAGCACGGCGACAACGGCCACCACGACTACAACGTCTACAACGTCCACAACGGCTACAACGGCTACAACTTCTACGACGGCTACAACGGCTACAACGGCTACCAGCACGGCGACAACGGCGAGGCAGTGGCAGCGGGCAATGGAGCGTGTCTACGGTGGCGGGCAGTGGTGCGAGCAGTGGTGCTGGCCTCGAGAACAGGCGGTGGCGGGCGAGGCAGTGGCAGCGGGCAGTGGCGCAAGTCTGCGAGAACAGGCGGTGGCAGGCAGTGGTGCGAGCAGTGGTGCTAGCCTGCGAGAACAGGCGGCGGCGGGCAGTGGCGCGAGCAGTGGCAGCGCTGCGACCCTCGACGACACCCCTTCGACGACCCTCGACGCCACACTTTCGACGACGACCTTGGACGACGCCCCTCGACGTCCACTCTCGACGACGCCCCTCGCCCACTCTCGACGCCCCTCAACGACGCCCCTCGATGACGCCCCTCGTCGACGCCCCTTCTGCACCGTCAGCTGCAGCGCCGCGATCAAGACATGCGAGCATCTGAAGGCGAATATCGAGCCCTTTATCGGCGCAGGCATGGACACGGACACGGGTAGCGGCCTTCGACGACCCTCGGCGACGCCCCTCCACGACCCTGCCCGACGACCCCCGACGACCCTCGACGACCCCTCTTCGACGACCCTCGACCACCCCCCTCGACGACGTCCCTCGCCGACGGCAGTGGCAATAGCGCGGCACTGGCAGCAGTGGCAGCGGCAGCAGGCAGTGGCAGCAGGCAGCGCAACCGGGCGGAGCGACAAACCGTCATCAGCTACAGTCTTGGACACAAGCGTGCGAGAAGGGGAGTCCTCAGCTGCCGGCCGCGACACACCCGTGCAAACAAACACTTCGACGCTGGAGGGCGAAGTCACAAGCCAGAGTACGAGCGCGCGCGAAGTGCCCGACGAATCTGAGCGCGCGCAAAGCGAGAAACATTCGGGGGCACGAGTGCGAGAAGAGACGGCAGCGGCTGTGGACCCACGGCTGGGCACCCAAACGTCATCAGCTACACGTGTACGAGAAGAGCCGGCAGCTGCAGCGGGCGACTGGAGGGCTGTGGCCTTGGCCGCGGCTGAGGCTGCGGCCGCAAGGGGGGCTTCTCCCCAACTGCTGGCCGCGATGGCCTATAGGCTCCGTACGCTTGCGCACGAGCAGCACATTCCCATCCCCTTCGAGTGCGCCAGTGCCGCCAGTATCTTCGACCAGGTGAGGCAACGCATACGGTTCATAGAGCGGGCGGCTTTCCCCATCTCGTCCGCGATCCTTCCCACGATCCTCCTTCGCGCGTCAGACAAGATCAGCAGCTCCAGTTTCGAAGAGGCCGTGCGTATGACGGAAGACCTCCTCGAATACGCCCGCGACGTCGACAGCGAAGACGACGACGACGAGGGTGACGAGTCCGAGACTGGCGTGGAGGAGCTTATCCACGAGAGCGAGCAAGATAACCTGGAGAGCGAGCAGCCGTCACAAGCAAGCTGGGACACGCCAGTGCGAGAAGCAGCAGAGGCAGCGGGCAGTGGCGCGAAGTTGGGAGCCCATGCGTCATCCGCTTCTGGGCGGGAATCGCTAGAACAGAAAGCGGCCAATAGCAGTGGCGAGAGGTGGGAAACGGCGGCAGCCGCGGCGGGAGGCGGCGCGACGCCCCAGACGAGACGCACGGTCTCGTTCGCGCCGACCGCAAGCGTCCTTGTGGTGAGGACAAGTCCGACGAGTTCGGCAACCACTTGAACAACATCCTCTGAGTGGGGGGGAGAGGTGGTCCCCCTTCGCCCAACGGCTACGCCTGCTCCGCGGGCACAGAGTCGATAGGAACACAAGAACACAGGATGATGATGATGATGATGATGATGATGATGATGATGATGATGATGATGATGATGATGATGATGATGATGATGATGATGATGATGATGATGATGATGATGATGATTGATGATGAGGATGAGGATGATGAGGATGATGATGATGATGATGATGATTGATGATGATGATGATGAGATGATGATGATATGATACTGGTACTGATAATGATACTGATATGATGATGATGATGATGAGGAGAGGAGGAGGAGGAGAGGAGGAGGTGGAGGAGGTTGATAAAGGAGGAGGAGGTGGAGGAGGGTGGAGGGTGGAGGGAGGAGGGTGGTGGGAGGGAGGAGAGGGAGGAGGGAGGGTGGATGGAGGAGGGAGGTTGAGGGAGGAGGAGGAAGGGAGGGTGGAGGGTGGAGGGAGAAGGAGGAGGGAGGAGGGAGGAAGGAGAGGGATGAGGGAGGAGGGGGGGGGGAGGGGATAATAGAGGAGAAGGAGGAGGAGGAGGAGGAGGAGGAGCGAGGATACGGAGGAGGAGGAGGAGGAGGAGTAGGAGGAGGAGGAGGAGGGGGGGGGGAGGAGGAGGCGGGAGGGGAGGAGCAAAAGGACTGGAAACATGATGATCAGCAGGAGCAGGGGTAAGGAGAAGGGGGGAGAAGGGAGGATGATGAGGGGAGCAGTGAAAGGCGTTGCCGTCGAGCGCACTGGAAGAGAGAAGGCCTTGTCGAACCTCTTCGTTCAAGATCTCCCACGATCGATCGAGTGAAGGGGGGCATGGGCAGATTGACCTCGCCCCCCTCCCGGTGCAGGCGAGGCCCTCGCACTCCCTTTTTCTCCTGCCTCTTCTCCTGCTTTTTCTCCTGTTTCTTCTCCTGGCGCTGCTGCTGCTGCTGCTGCTGCTCATCCTGCTCCAATGCGCCGGCTCTTGCTTATGCTCGGATCCTCCCCAATCTCCTTCAACACATTTCCATGACCCCTCCTCATAACCCCCCGAACCCCGTAGAGCCGTAGAGCCCCTCATTTCTCCTTCACCCCCGATCCTCCTTCTCCCCCTTCTCCCTCCCGTTTCCTCTCTTTCCCCTTCGTATGTTTCTCAGTCGTCTTCGTATGCGTATTAGTTGGTTTGTTTTAATATGTTTGTTTTTCGTTATTGTTATTACGAGTACGCTTACTAGTATTAACACTGCTACTACTGCCCTTATTAGTGATAGTGTGATTGCTGGTATGCGTGCTAAAGCTATGTTAGTTAATGTTAGCATTAGTGCTTTCACTGTTAGTATGCTTCTTGTTTATAGTGGTGGTATTGTTGGTATCAGTCGTATTGCTGTTACCATTTCATTATTCGTATCATTATCATTGTTGTTGTCATCAATCGCAGTATTGCTATCATTATTTGCATCATTCGTATTGCTATTCTTATTTAGCATGTTGTTCTTATTTTTTACAGTACTATCAATGCTGTTAGTATTAATATCATGTTCCGTATCATTATTATGTCTCTTCTTATTCTCTTTTTCCTACCTCTCACACCCCTCATCAGTCTCTCCCCCCCTCCTTCCCCCAACCCCAGTTCTTCTCCCCCCCTCCTTGTGCCCTCCTACCCCCCCCTCCCTCCCCTCCTCCTCCTTCTCCTACTCATGCTTCCCCTCCTCCTGCTCCTCCTCCCCCTCCTCATTCGCCTCTGATCCTCTCCTTCTCCTCTGATTATCCTCCTTTTTTTCAGTATCTAAGTATCCCCCTTCCCCTTGGCCCCCCTCCCAGTCTTCCTGCGCTTTATCCCCTTCTTCCTCATCCTCCTGCTTCGCTTCCTCCTTCTCAATCCTCTTCGTCATCCTTTTCTTTCACCCCACATCCTAAACGGGGCTTCTCCTTTCTCCAGGCACCCCTCGCGCAGGAACCAGGAGCCAGGATCAAGACCCCCACCCCGTCCACACCATCCTCGTCGTCATCGCACTTTTCGCCGCTTCATCACGATCAGCATCGTGATCAGTATCACCGCTATCACCAGCCCCCATGCGCCAGCTGTCGTTGACATGATCACCACCATCACCATCATCATGATCACTATCATCACCATTCTCACCACCATCCCCTCATCGCCATCGCCACGGCTGGTCGTAGTCATAATCGTGATAGGTCGCCGCGCCGTCAGCTCCGGCGCGCGGCCCTACGCCTTGGGGAGGGCGCCTCGGCTACAAGGGCAAATGCCGCCTCGGACGCGGTGGGCTCGCCGCGGGTTTGCCGCGGTGCCGGGACGCAGGGTTTGCCGTGGGTTTGCCGTGGTACCGAAGTTGCCCAATTGGGCGCGTTGAGAAGAAACGACGCTGCGACATATCATGATGTTAAGCACCACCATCACACTACTATGGCCACCACTCTTTGGCGACCAGTGTTAGGATGTCCCGAGCGGGAGTCTCACCTGTGAGTAACTTGCAGCAGCGTCTCGAGCGGGGGCCCCCGCTACATGGTTCCCACCTTCTCCGAAGTGGCAACCGGAAGCGCGGAGCACATCTTTGTATCTCGACACATGACCACCTGCATTGGAGGAGCCTCATTCCTGAGCAAGCTGTGGGGATGTCTCGAGCCGGAGCATCGGCCGTGAGTGATTTGGTCTCGAGCGGGCTCCTCCCTGTGGGGTATCCACCTGATGTGTTCCCTTCGAGGCGGCCATCGGAAGCAGTGCACAGCACGCGCCGCTGGGGGGCCCCGCAGGCCTGCGCGCCGGGAGCCCGCAGGCGCCTCTGCGGGTGCGGCATCAGCGGACGGCAGCAAGCGTGTTGCGCCCTCATCGCCGGCTCCATTCGACGAGCCGCAGTGCAAATGTCGGGTTGACCCAACAGGGGGTCCAGCGACAAGGGGGTGGTGCAATAGATTTGGTGCAATAGATCTGTGGGGTTGCAATAGATGGGGGCGTGCAATACAGTCCGGGGCGCAAATGTATTGCTGACTTTTCGCGTGCAATACATGACTTGCAATACATTGCAAAAAAAAACCAAGGATTGCAAAAAAACCCTTCGTCACCACCCACCAAACCACCCCAACCCAACCCGAAGGCCCCGATTTTCCCTCCATTTCCAGTGGGGGCGGGGTCGGGGAACATCGACAAAAACACACATGAAGCCCGTGCCCCCCCCAACCCGAAATTCGTGTCTTCGCGTTGGGTTGGGGTGGTCTGGTAGGTAGTCAATTCGACGAACCGCAGTGCAAATGGCTGCAGCAGGCGCTGGGTGCCACCCTCGAGACCTTCGGGCAGCACGTCGATCAGCGAATCCAGGGGGTTGAGGACAAGGCTGACTGGGCGCTCCGGGACGCCGACGACCTCGAGACTGGCGTACACCGCCAGATGGTTGAGCTCAAGAAGAAAGAGGACGCCACAGACAAGGCCCTGGCGGAGCTCAGGAAGAAGCATGACGAAACCGACAAGGCAGTGAAGGACCTCCGGCAGCGCGCCTCGCCCGCGCCCCCGCCGAGGGGCCGCGCACCGCAGCGCCTCCAGCAGCCCGCCATCCCGTACGAGCAGCGCACTGTTGTCCGCGTCGGCAACCTCGCATAAGCGCTGCGCCTGATGAAAAAGAAGGGGGGAAGAAGGGGAGGAGGGGGGAGGAGGGGAGGCAGGGAACGGTTGCCACCCCAGGGGCTGGGCGACATTCGTCGGCAGGGAACGGTTGCCAGGTGTTTCCCTTCAGTTGTTGTTTCGCTTTATTTGTGAAAGCAGAGTACTCGAGCGCGCGCGTGCCGTCCTTCAGGAGGCGAGCGTTTCTGGTGCGAGCCGCGGTCCGCTCTCTGCAGTCGCTGGCCGCTCCGGCCAAGACAGTTGCACGGAACTCGCCCTCAACGCGCCGGCAGGCCTGCAAGGCAGCCCGGAGCTCAGTGCGGAACTTGCGCCAAGCCTTCCACGACGACCGCTCGGTGTGGCTCGACGCGAAGGAGGAGCGCTCCGAGCTGCGGCCCGCCCGCCTCATCCACAGGTCGCTTGAGCTCATCTCCGGCCTCGAGGCCCAGCGCCAGCAGCCCGTGCAAGGTGAGAAGGACCTCGTCCACAAAGTGGCCAAGATCGGTCCCCATCGTTGCTGTTTCCCGCTCGGTGGCCTGCTTTACTTTACTGCGCTGGGCGAAGCAGCGCTACAGCCAGGAGGAGCCTGACATGGTTGAGTCCTTCGCGGAGGCCCGTTGGCTATCCGCCATCCAGGTGGTCATTGCCGCGGCGAGCGCGTCGCGGGCCATGGGGAGTGAGCTTTCCAGAGGGGCATTCTGGAAGTTACTCCGGGCTTCGATTCGAGGAGTGGTCGCTCGCGTTCATCTCCGAGCGCGACGGGCATGCTGATGAGCGCTCTGCCAGGCTTGGGCCGCGTCGCTGTCTTCGGCATTTCCCGGGGCAGGGGAGCCACGCCACGACATGGGTCGCGCGTGGGTGCCTGGCGCCCCTCACACAGTGAGTAGTTTGGCGGGGCCCGCGTGGTGCTATCCATCTTCGGTCGGCCTCTGCTCTCCCTCCTCGTCCTCCCCCCTTCCTCCTCCCGTGGTTCCACCCTTAGATTTACACCTCGTTGTCGTGGGCTTTCATGGGAGGCACGGGGGATCTCTCGACGATAGCCAGTCCGATCTATCTTTTGTTCTGCGGAGCCGGCCGTTCGGCAATAATGTTGTCGTGGAGGATTTCAACGTAGGGACCAGTTGCCGCTGCATCCACCGGACTTTTGGTCCTCCCAGCTCGGTCGGGGAATTCGTCATTACTTAGCCCGCGTGTCGTTTGCCAATTTAAGTGGCGCTTTTGATCTGGACATTCGCCTCCCCTCCCCTCCTCTCTACGGCCCTGATAGTCCGCATAATGCTGCTTGCCTGGCCGCTCCCATCACCCGGGTCCCTGGTGGAGACACGGCTGAGGAGTTTAAACCGAGTCTCTTGGATTATGCTCTGGCGTCACCTTCGTAGATGTTCAGTCGACGATTCAGTGGGCGTCTCACGGGGGCCATGCATTGCTTCAGCACGCCCTCCGGTGCAAGGCCACGGCACGGCACCGTGGCAAGACGCATTTGGGTTTGTAAGGATTTTGCTGCTTGCCTTGAATGTTTGAGCATTGCCCTCGTTTCCTCTTGCCCCCCCCTCCCCGACCCCCTGTCCAGGCAGTTTTGCCGAAGCTGCCTGCGCTGCCGCTTTCGCAGCCCTGCGCGACAGCTGGTCTGACAACCGAGCCTGCGCGGCGCGGTCTGCGGCGCGCTTGCCATCGCAGTGCCGGGATTTGTATCAGCGAGCGGCCGACGCTCCCTCGGAGGGGGAGCGTGCGCCAGGAGCGAGCGCGGAAGGCCGTTGTTTACCAACAGGCAGGGTCGGGTGTTTAAGAAAGCTTCCCAATTGCGACCCGTTTCTGGGATGTTTTTGCCGTCTCTCCCGAACCCGCGCGATGCCGAAGTGCAGCACCAGTTGTCGCTTTCCACAGCCGAGTGGGCCGCGGCAGTCAAAACATGCTTTGACGCCACATTCGGGGTCCGACGACCCAGAATCGGTCCTCCCTCTGTTGGATTTCGTCTTAGCGGCGGAGGGGCATGAGCCTGGATTCGCTGCCGCAGAAGTGTCGGCCGCGCTCGCCCGCCCCAACAACAGCGGCAAACTTGATCATGATGGGCGTTGTGTGCGCATGCACCAAATAATACACAAGTGCGCTCCCGGCGTCAGCACTCGCCTCTTCAACGAGTTAGTGGCCTCTAGCGCTGCCATATCTAGGATTGGTGTTGCGGGGCACGCGAGGGGAAAAGGAGTCTCCACCCCCAAACCCGCGCAGCTCCGAGCCATCATGTTTGATCGTTCGGCGTCTCAAACAAGGATCGACGAGCACGCTGCTGTACCACAGTGCTGGTGGGTGGGAGCCCGGCCATTTACACAAACACTGGACATTACGCGCGCCTTGCACCTCGTTATCGAGAGAGGTCTGGACGACCGCAGCCGGTCGGCAGTGGCTCGGAGCGATATTGAAGCCTGACTTTCTCCCCGTTCGGGGGATCTTGCCGTAGTGCGTGTCTCGAGGGATGCCGTTGGCGCTCGCGGCAGCAGCGGCGCGCCATCAGTTGCTCCCAGTCATGAGCTTGCGCGTTGGGCACGTGGAGTCGGAAGTCTCATTCTCACTTGGAGTCGGGTCGCCGGTGCCTTGGGCCGAATCCCAGTCGAGGCCATTCTCAGGAAGATGTCTGATGTTTGCCGGCAGCGGGGCTTCTGGTTGGACGAGTCGCAGCAATTAGCCAGTGCCACATAAGCTGATACATAACATGCATTCCGTCAGCAATTCCCTCTACAATGCGACGTGCTTGTTGGATGTATTCGAGCCCCGTCTGTCCTCCAACTGGGGACTGCGCATCAAGGGATGCAGCAAATCATGCATGGTTGCTGCAGGAGGTGACGCATCCGTTTCAGACCCAGACGTTTGGAAACCGTCGCAAGATTTTAAGGCTTTGGTCCATATCCTGGAAGATACGGGATCGTGCGCGATGTGTGTTGATAGGACTATGGCCGCCATGTGGCGTGCGTTTTGGGCTGGTTGTGCCATGCGCAGCCTGCGAGACGTCCCGCTGCGGCAACGTCTCCGCATGCTTGATCGCTCTGTGCTGCCAGTGTTCGGCTATCGATGCAGCCGGTGGCCGCCCGCCGAAACCTTGGAGGGGCGCATCGATACTTGTCAGCGTCGTATGGTCAGCCTTCTGATGTGGGTGCCGCGACAAACTGGTGAAGAAGCGCCAGCCTACTTCCGCCGCAGAACCAGGGGCGCCAAGGATCTCTGTAGTCAGAGGCGTTGGTGGAGCCATCGTCGCTGCACTCGAGTGCTGAATTGGCGAGAACACTTCGAACGGCCGCGGAACCGTCGTTCTTGGGCGGCCCAGCTCCTGCGCTGGCAAGGCGAGCACTGGCTCCCAAACCGGAGGACGCAGCTGAACAGCTGCAACGCTCATGCTGGACACAGGTACGAGATTGGCGGCTCGTCATCCACGACAACGGTGGCAAGAGGGAGCCAGGTTTTCTTTAGAGCAAATGTTGCCTGGCTCGCAGGCCGCTCTTTATCCTCAGTGTCCCCCCCCTCACTCGCATGAAGTTGACGTCTTTCAGCAGTTCAAGCGCTGCGGCGGGCAAGTCGCCCGCTTTGCGTTTTTCTTCGCCGCGTGTGTTGTTTTTGTGCACGCCGCTTGCGGTGTTATCCCGCCTTTTGCTTCTGATTATGGTTCGTGTTTTTTGGCACCTGGCTTCCAGAATGTTCAGGAGCTTTCGAGCAAGAGCTTTATGTCTGGGCATCGTGCGAGGATGTGTTGAGCGGGAACTCCGTCTGTGCCTAAGGCAGGAGGAGGCTTCCCTCGAGCGGGAGCCTCCCCTGCAGGGTCGCGCGGACGCTTGTCCGAAATTGTGTACACTTGTATGTGCGAAGTGGCCTTTTGCCCCTGAATATTGGTTTTAGCGGCTAGCGGGCTTCGATCCTCGTTCTTCCATCCCGTACTCCGTCCTTCCCCCCCCCCCCCCCCTCCCTCCTCCCTCCCTCCCTCCCTCCTCCCTCCTCCTTCCCTCCTCCCTCTCTCCCTCTCCCCTCCGTCCCTCCCCCCCTCCCTCCCTCCTCCCCCCTCCCTCCCTCCCTCCACCCTCCTCCCTCCCTCCCTCCCTCCCTTCTCCCTGTCTCCGCCCTCCCTGATCCGTCCTTCCTCCTCCTCCACCCCCCCTCCCTCCTCAGACCCCCGCCTCGAGCCAACGCCGCCCTCCTCCTCCTCCTCCTCCTCCTCCTCCTTCTCCTCATCCTCCTTTCATCCTCCTCCTCCTCCTCCTCCTCCTCCTCCTCCTCCTAGTTTCTTTTCCTGGTTATCATTGTTTGTCCTCCTCCTCCTGCTGCTCCTCCTCCTCCTGCTGCTGCTGCTGCTCCTCCTCCTCCTCCTCTTTATACCTCCTCTGCCTTCTCTTCTTTCTCCTTGTTCTCCCGGTCCTCCTCCTGCTGCTTCTCTCGCCTTGTCCTTCCTCCCCCTCCCTCCTTATACCTCCTCCTTCCAGGGATGAGGATCCGATAGAAGATGAGTAATCAGAACATAAGGAGGAGGACGAAGGGAGGATAATGAGTAGGAGGAGGAGGAGGAGGAGGAGGATTCGGGGACGGTCATGATGAGGATTTCCAGGTTCACGATGCTGACGGGGGTGACGGCGGTGAGGAGACAAGGAAGATACGGATGATAATCAGCATGGTGATGACGAGGGTCACGGGAGTCACGATGCTCAGCGTGAGGACGGTGAGGTGGAGTAGGAGGACTGCGAGGAAGAGGACGAGGAGGACGACTGTTATGAGGAGGTGGTGAGGCGGCGGGCAGTAGACAAACAAAACGGAGAGATGTGTAGAGAAAGGAGCACGGGAGGGACGTCGTCGTCGTCGTTGTCGTCGTCGTCGAAGTGGTTCTTCTATTTCTCCTGCCCCTCGTTCCGCTCCTCTCCCCCCGCGCCTTACCCCCTCCCCCTTTCCCTTTGCATTGCGCTGCTCAGTGCGTCCCCGAAAAGAATCGCAGCAACCACAGAAACAACGACGACGACCAACCTCACGCAAGCTAAGGAACTTCTCCTGCGGGGTCCATCCGCCGGAGTGCTCATCTCTCTTAAGAGAGTAGTGATTGTGGGGTCCTCGAACTTCAATAGACTTCTCGGCGCCATTTCCTAATTTTAAGAGTCTGACAGCTATTCGGTTCCTTTTCTGTTTTGGGGGGTGAGCGGAAACCCAATATGTCCTCAACGCCTTCCTACCCTAAGATCCGACGTCGCTGGACAAAAATCTACATCGCGAGAAGTGCCAAGTGGAGCCATCGACCCCATCCTTCTCCAGCGCTTCTCGAGCCGGATCGATTCGTGAGGGTCTCCGGGCCCGAAGCTGGGCGACAGTGCTTGGTGCGAGAGAAACAATGCAACGTCTGGATTTAAGGGTCTCGTATGCTTCCGCCGATCTCCTTCCAGCGGTGAGTACCGCCCGGGATGTTTGCTCCGCGTGTCGCGCCGCGGGCTCTTGCCCACGGCGCTTCCGCTCGCAGGGCACAGCGTGTCGCCGGGGGCCGCCTCCGTGACACGCCGGGCAGAGGTTCCTGACCATGGTAGCCGTGTTGGGAGGGCGAGGGGGGGGGGCCCAGGGGAGCAGGAGCGGCCGCCGACGCCTCGCGACGAGAGACTGGGGAGGGAGGAGGACGAGGAGGAAGAGGAGGAGGAGGGATAGGACGAGGAGGAGGATGAGGAGCAGGATGGTGATGATGATGATGATGATGATGATGATGATGATGATGATGCTGATGATGATGATGATTATTATGATAGTGATGGTGGTGGTGGTGATGATGCTGCTGATGATGATTATGATGATGCTGGTGGTGATGATGATGGTCATGATGATGCTGCTGCTAATGATACTCATGCTGCTGATGATGGTGCTGATGATGGTAGTGATAAGAAAGATGATGCTGGTGATGATGATAGTGATGATGGTTGTGATGATGATGCTGATGGTGGTAATGATGCTGTTCATCATTATGTTGTTGATGATGATGGTGGTCAAGATGATGCTGTTGATGATGCTGCTTATGATGGCTTTTACCATGATGATGCTGATGATGATGCTGATGATGACGATGCTCATGTTCATGATGATGATGATGATGATGATGATGATGATGATGATGATGATGATGATGATGCTGATGCTGATGTTGATGATGATGATGATGATGAGGAGGAGGAGGAGGAGGAGGAGGAGCACGAGTGCAAACCCCAGATTCATCAGCCATGTTGGGGTACACCCTCCCTCCATGCCCCTGCAAGGACTCATTTCAACTGAGGGAAGTCCCCCGTTGGGAGACAACTGTTTGAAGATCCTGAGGCGTGCCAAAACATAATTCTCGGGAATCCAACGCCACGAATCAACTTGCGTGCTGCATCTTGACGATCTTAAATCGTGCCAGAACCATTTTGGGGACATCCACGCCGCGCATCGACGTAACTGTTGCGCCCCGACAATCCTGAATCGTGCCAAACCATGATTTCTGGTACCTTGAACAGGGGAATCCGTGAAGCTCTTGCAGTCTATAAGACGACTGTGCATTGCGCTAAAGCGAGAGCCACATTTTGAAATGGAGCCGCCCTCAATCCGTGAAGCCCTTGCGAATGTTTGAAACGAGTGCGCGCGGCGCTAAGGGAAGAGCTACATTTTGAAAAGGAACTGGCCTCAATCCGTGAACCTCGTGCACATGTTTAGGACGAGTGCGCGCGGGGCTAAGGCGACAGCCACATTTTGAAAACGGCCCTTCCTCAGTCCGCGAGGCTCCTGCAATTTTTGTTATGCCAATGTGCGCGGCGCTCTGGTGAGAGCCACGTCTTGAAAACGCCCGTCCTCGATCTGTGAAGCTCTCTGCGCTTTCCAAGGCGGGTGTGCGCGGCGCTATGGCGAGAGCGACGTTTTGAAACCCCCCCGCCCTCCATCTGTGAAGCTGTTGCCAGCGCCTGAACTTCAAGGGCGTTAGTGGTGAGGAAGTCTCGGGCGAAACGCGCGGCCCGCCCTTCCGGCGGGCCTCGAAGAGCGACAGGGAGGAATTATTCTGAGGGAAAAAGAGTGGAGGAAGACGAGGAGGAGGAGGAGGAGGAGGAGAGGGACGATGGGGGAGGAGGAGCAAGACGAGGAGGTGGTCAAGGACGCGACGACACCCGACGCTACGAGCTCCGCTCGAAGTATGCCTAACGAACGACGCCGAGGAGGAGGATGAGGAGGAGGAGGAGGACATTGCCAACAACGACGACGAGGACGATGAAGAGGATGACGATGATGATGCTGATGATGATGATGATGATGATGATGATGATAATGATGATGACGATGACGATGACGATGACGATGAGGAGGAGGAGGATGAGGATGAGAATGAGGATGCTCATGCTGATGGTGATGATGGTGGTGATGATGATGATAATGCTGCTGCTGCTGCTGATGCTGATGATGATGATGATGATGATGATGATTATGATGATGATGATGATGATGATGATGATGATGATGATGATGATGATGATGATGATGATGATGATGATGATGATGATGATGATGATGGTGATGATGATGATGATGATGATGATGATGATGAGCAGCATGAACATGATGATGTTGATGCTGCTGACGAGGAGCAGGAGGAGCAGGAGGAGCAGGAGGAGCAGGAGGAGCAGGAGATGAGGAGAAGGAGGAGGAGATGAGGAGATGAGGAGGAGATGAGGAGATGAGGAGGAGATGAGGAGGTGGAGGAGGAGGAGGAGGAACAGCTTGGAGGAGGAGGAGGCTGGAGGAGGTCGGAGCAGGAGGAGGTTGGAGGAGGTTGGAGGAGCAGGAGGCTGGAGGAGGAGCAGGGTCCCCTCGAGGTCGCGGGCGCCGGCGCCCCTCCCGGCGGCGCCGGGCGCGCGGCCTCCGCCGGTCGGGCCTCCTGGCTGTCGGCGGGCGCGCTGGGCCCCTCCGGGGGGGGGCGAGCCCCCTCCTCCTCCTCCTCCGCCTCCTCCGCCTCCTCCGTCTCCTCCTCCTCCGCCTCCTCCTCCTCCGCCTCCTCCTCCGCCTCCTCCGTCTCCTCCTCCTCCTCCTCCTCCGCCTCCTCCTCCTCCTCCTCCGCCGCTTCCCCTCCGGGGAGGCCGGGCCAGCGCCGATCCGTCTCGGGGGGGGGGGGCCAGTCTTAAGTCGGGCCTGTCCCTCCCCCTACAGGGGGAAGATTCAGAAATATTCCAAAAGTTGTTCGGGGGCTATTTGTTGAGTATCTTTTGGCCATTTTGGGGGATGTTTTTAATAGTATGTTTTCTTTTTCGTCCAAAATCCCCCTGTAGGAGGACAGGCCCGACTTAAGTTTTGCCAGGACCCCAGGTACCCTGACCTTCCTGGAGGGCTTAAAAATAGCACTGGGCTTAAAAATCTATCCCGAAGCTATTCTGCGTCTTGGTTTTAGGACGTTTCGTTCAGTTGTTTAGGTTTTTAGGCCTCCAGTGCTAACAAAAATAGCTCTCTGGAAGGTCAGGGTAAGGGGACCCGGTTAGTAGTAGGGCCCTGGAGCCCCTAAATTGGCCAAAATCACTAAGCCAGGTCTGCCGCAGCTGGTGTTTTTCTCGGGTGACGGCAGTTCCGGTTAGTGGAACGGGGCGGGGGGGCGTCCCCCAGTACACATCACTAAACCAGGTCCCACTAAACCCAGTTCTGCCAACGCCCGACCCAGGCCCTTTCATTCGAAGAAGATCAAGCGCCATAGACACACGCATAAACTTGTTGCGCTCCGAGCGGGTCTCTTGGATCTACGCTGGGCCCCCTGGCGGCGCGGAGCGCCAAAAAGTTTATAATTATGGCGTGTTGTCTTCCTTTGGGGAAGCGCTTGGCATCGCTCGGACGGGTGCGCTTTTTGTCGGCGAGGACCTTCGAGAAGCATCCCAGATCACCTTGCGAAAAAAAAGCGCGCGAGGCCGAGATCTGAACAGGGAAGGGGCGTCCGAGCGATGGCCAGTGCGGGTCCCAAGGGAGACGACAGGTCCTCAGGTTTTGCGTCGTTTCTGGCCTTCCCTGGGCCGTCCACGGGCTCTGGGGCTGTCGGGCAACGGCTCGGGAGGAAGAGCTCGTCCTGGGGGGAGGCGTTCCTCCTCCTCCTCCTCCTCCGCCTCCTTCTCCTCTTCCTCCTTCTCCTCCTCCTCCTCCTCCCTGGGTCCAGAACCCGTTTCCCTCAGGAACCTTTGTCCCACGCTAAGGTTTCATTCCAGGGCGATAAGTGGAGGGAGGGTGGTTGGGGCGCAAGGGACGGGTGTCAATGCAAACGGGGGTCAGCCGGGGCGCCAGGTCTTGCAGGCTCCTGCAAGGCCAGGGTTGCACCGACCCAAATCAGGGCGTAGGGCCTTGCAGTATTTTGCAGGATCCTGCCAAGCTCAACTGACCCGGGTTCGGATTGACCCGTGTCAGTGGGTCCCCGAGGGGGGACGGGGGCTGGCTGGTAACGTCACGTTTCGCGCCAGCGCCGTCTGGGAGTGTCTTGGAATAGCCAAAGGCGGCTCGGACGTCAGCACGAATCATGACATTACCTAGGGGGGGAAGGGCGGCGGCTGGAACCGGTAACGGCCGCGATCGCGAAGAATTTAAAAAAGCTCTCTCCAGAGTTCATTTCGACCCCCCGGATTCGATTCGATTGGATCTCGATTCCGATTCCGATTTCGATTCGATTCGGCTTCGGATTCCGATCTGGACTTCGGGTTCTCCCGAAAAGGGCGCAGGCCCAGGGTTCTCTTCTTGTTGGTAAACCAAGGGCCGGGTCTCTTTGTAATGGTTTATAAGCCAAGATGCAGCCAAGAAAGTAGCCGGAGAGGCAGCCAGAGAGGCAGCCCAGAAGGCACAATAATCAGGCAACCGAAGAGGCTGCTAAGAAGGCTGCCAAGAAGGCAGCCAAGTAGGCAGCCAAGAAGGCAGCCAAGAAGACAGCCAAGTAGGCAACGAAAAAGGCAGCCAAGAAGGCAGCCAAGAGGACAGCCGGAGAGGCAGCCGGAGAGGCAGCCGGAGAGGCAGCCTGAAGGTAGCCAAGGAGGCAGCCAAGAAGGCAGCTGGAGAGGCAGCCGCAAAGGGAGCCAAGAAGGCAGCCGCAGAGGCAGACAAGTAGGCCCAAGAAGGTAGCCGAGAAGGTCGCCGGAGAGGCAGCCAAGAAGGCAGCCAGAGAGCCCCCCGAGGAGACAGCCGGAGAAGCAGCCAAGGCGGCAGCCGAGAGGGCAGCCAAAAGGCAGCCAAGAAGGCAGCCAAGAAGGCAGCCAAAAGGCAGCAAAATGCAGCCAAGAAGGCAGACAAGAACGCAGCCAAAAGGCAGCCAAGAAGGCAGCCGGAGAGGCAGCAAAAAAGGCAGCCGAAAGGCAGCCTGGAAAGCCAAAAGGCAGCCAAGAGGCAGCCTAGAAGGCAGCCTAGGAGGCAGCCGGAGTGGCAGCGAGAGGGCAGCCAAGAGGCAGCCAAGTAGGCAGCTAGAGAGGCAGCCGAGAGGCAGCCAAGAAGGCAGCCGGAGAGGCAGCCAGAGAGGCAGCCCACAAGGCAGCCAAGAATCAGGCAGCCGAAGAGGCTGCTAAGAAGGCTGCCAAGAAGGCAGCCAAGTAGGCAGCCAAGAAGGCAGCCAAGAAGACAGCCAAGTAGGCAACGAAGAAGGCAGCCAAGAAGGCAGCCAAGAGGACAGCCGGAGAGGCAGCCGGAGAGGCAGCCTGAAGGCAGACAAGAAGGCAGCCAAAAGGCAGCCAAGAAGGCAGCCGGAGAGGCAGCAAGCCAAGAAGACAGCCAAACCACAGCCAAGAGGCAGCCTAGGAGGCAGCCGGAGTGGCAGCCAGAGGGCAGCCAAGAGGCAGCCAAGTAGGCAGCTAGAGAGGCAGCCCAGAAGGCAGCTGCGGAGGCAGTCCAGTAGGCAGCCGGAGAGGTAGCCAAGAAGGCAGCCGAATAGGCAGCCAAAAGGCAGCCAAGAAGGCAGCCAAGTAGGCAGACAAGTAGGCAGCCTAGAAGGCAGCCAAGAAGGCAGCCAAGAGGGCAGCCGAAGAGGCAGCCGACGACGACGACGACGACGACGACGACGACGACGACGACGACGACGACGACAGGCGCGACGACGGACGAAGGGGGGTGCCCGGGAGGGCGCTCGAGGTTGAAGGGGGTGCCTTGGGCCACAAGGCCGTGGATCTCTGGGCTGAGAAGCTTCGTGGGTCTCTGAGTTGGGAAGCTTCGAATTAGACCAGGGCTTCCCGCATCGCCCTTCGCCCGCGCCAGGGGCGTCGTGTCCACATTCGTCGGCCAGGTCATACCGTCGGCTCAAACGCCCAGGCTCTGTTGAGCCAGATGGCGACGGGCGCTCCGTTGGGGCGCGATTTCTCCCTGGCCACAGGCCTTTGGTGATGTGGCGCGGGTGCTTTCCACGGCCCCTTCGGCCTTGGCAGTGCCTTTCGTCAGGGTGCTCGCGGAACGGAACCGCGGAGTCGAGTTGCCCGACAACGCCGTGACGAATGTCATTTGGAAGCTCGCACACTATCGTAACATCGGCCAGGACGTTGATTTTGACTTCAAGAACCCGTACTTCAAAGAACTGCAGAAGCTTGCGCTGTCGGCCCCCACAGTTGAGGTGCGCTCCACTCACGGTCGTTGCCCCTGGTGGCGCATTGCAGACCTCCAGAGTTGCGCCCCAAAGACAAGCAGCCGGGCGGCCTTCAAGATTCAACGTCGCAGTGGCGGCGGGATCGTTCTGGAGACCCGGTACCGCGTTTACACTGTGGGCGCTGGGGTCCAGAACGCCTCCTTCTCGGAGGAATACTGCCTCAAGTGCGCCTTGTATTTTCTCGGGCAGTGGTAGTACGAGAAGCACGACAGAAGTACCGGGCGAGGGACTTACGGGAAGATGATAAGCATCAAACTCGTTTCCGGGGTCAGCTCCCTCAAGTATTTTTTCGCTCCGCGCGAGAAGGCTTGGTGCGCCGTCGACGCGAAGATATTGAGTTCCTCGCGGACGAGCTACACCACAGTGGGGGGACATTGAATTCTGCAGTTCTGGTATGGTTCGAGCAACGCACTGAGCTCGCGTAGCGAGGGTTGATTCCTGGCGAAGACTTGGCGCTTCTACGAGCCAATGGAGTTCGCTTGGAGGACGCGTGTTGTGCGTACCACGCTGCCCGCTTTGCGGGCGGCGCCGCGTCCGAACTCATGCGGTCTTTCCCTAGGGGCGGCTTGGAGTCGACGTTGCTCGCTCTGGCGCCAGCCGTGCGCTAAGCCCACGTCGAGCGCGCCGTTAAGCACGCCCGCCTTTGCCCGAAGTGTGCCGGCGATCTCTTTGTTTGGACGGGAAATGCGGGGCGCGTCGATTCATGTGTGGCGGGTTGGGCGGTTACGAAACATGGGCGCGCTTCAGATAGAGTTTTGCACGGGGTGTTTGAAAAATGCCCGCGCCCGACGATTCTTCTGCGCTCGATGCCAGACGGCGCGTGCTGGATCGAACAATCTCACCCCGCAGACGAAGATTTTGGGCATCGCTCCCGCGACTGCCCATGACGGCGAAGCGTCTGCCCTGAAATCTGTGGTGCGTTGTTCGGGTCCAGATAATCCGAGCGAGCCCTTCGACGCCTTCTTGCCGAGGGCGGAAGTAGAGCTGCTAGCAGCCTGAGAGAAGTCTCTGCTCCCAGCAATTGGAGACCATGGGAACAAGAAGCAAGAGGGCGCGGCCTGCGTGGCTCAAAGGCCACTGGCAAGTTACGCGCTGGCTGAAGGCGCCGAACCCAGCGTACCGAGGGGGCGCCAGCCCCGGGGCCGCCGCCGCTGCTCGCGGCCGAGGCGCTGGCGGCCGCGCGGCCGCCAGGGGGCGAGGCGGCGCCCGGGGGCGCCGCGGCCGTGGTCGCACCTCCGCGGCGACGACGACCAGCGGCAGCAGAGCTGCCAAGGAAGCGGAAGGCGCCCGCGCCGAAGCGAGCTGGCCGCCCCGATTCCAC